ATTAGGGTGCCCTTTGTAACCCCAAGTCTGGGGGACTAGCCAACTCTTGCAAACTGCCTTACCTCTACCTCCCACTTTAATAGATAGATGTTTTGCAGAATTGATTTGAGATGTATCCAGATCAGGACTTCAAGCCAGGCAGCCATGTGGCAAAGAGAATTCTGTAATTATTTTTGGCTAGTTTTTGGAAGCAGCTGCCAATAATTGGCTGGTTTCCCGTTTATCCCCTCTTTTCTGTCTTTCCACATTCGAATTGGGGACTTCAACAGGAAGCCTTGTCATTCAAGAGAGCCACTCATTTGTTAGGTGAGAATATGGATCCAGGAGAGGTCAGCTTGTTTGTTGATTCACACATTCATTCATTCATTCACGTTGTTATTTGAGGGCTTCACAAACGTGTTATCTATCACATGACCAGCACAGTGGTGGTGGCAGTAGACACAGTGACAAATACAAGTCACAAAGCTTCTCTTTCATGAGCAGCTATTGAGAAGAAGAAATAATGGCAGTGATCTGTGCGGGAGATTTTTAGGATGAGTTTCCTTGCAGAGTATACACCAAGCACCTTGGGAATTTGCTTGTACAGCAACTAAAATACTACTAAGAGTATTTTAGACTTACTCTCGGATCTAAAATATGAAGTTTAGCAGGGTATTGGTGGCTCACACCTCACCTCAGGAGGCTGAGATCTGAGGATCACAGTTCAAAGCCAGTCTGGGCAGGAAAGTCTGTGAGACTCTTATCTCCAATAAACCACCAGAAAACCAGAAGTGGTGCTGTGGCTCAAAGTGGTAGAGTGCTGGCCTTGCTCACAAAGAGCTCTGGGACAGTGGCCAAACTGCCAGGTTCAAGCCCCACAACTGACCAAAGACAACGACAAAAAAAGAAGCTTAGTGCTTTTATTTGATTATCTATTATTTATTTGATTATTTATTATTATTTGATTGTTTGCCCCCCCCCCAATCTCTAACAAAGTTCCATGCATTCCATAGGTTCTAACTAAATGATCCCAGTCAAAATGGTGACATCCCATCAAACATATTTATTGCAGGACCATTTGAGAAGAAGAGAATAACAGTTTGTAGAGAAATTGTGAAGGTTTGTAGTGCTTCAAGTCTGTTTTTGGAATCAGGAATTCTAGGACAGTATTTCTTCAGTGCACTCTGTATCACCTACATCAAATACTTGGTAGGACTCCTAAACATTCCCCTCTCCTTCTGGGAGACTCACAGAATCCAATTGGACAAGGATTGAGGGAATCTGCACTTACACAAGTGATTTTATTTAAGAGGCCCAAGGGTCAGACTCTTCCTCTTGCCTCTACTAGTTTATAACCAGAACAGTTGGCTTTAGCTTTCTCTTTCTCTCTTTTTACTTTCCCTCTCTCCTTCCTTCCTTCCTTCCTTCCTTCCTTCCTTCCTTCCTTCCTTCCTTCCTTTCTCTTTCTCTTTCTTTGATAGGACTAGGATTTGAACTCAGGGCCTTATACTTGCTAGGCAGATGCTCTTCTACTTGAGCCACACCTCCAGCCCTAGACTATCTCTTTTTCTGACATATACCTTCTGTGAAGTCATGAGATTTTTTTTTGTCTCTGTTCAATGCTGAATCTTCACTACTTGAAAGGGTCTGTTGTGTAATGAATATTAATTGACTAATTAAATGAAAGTAAACTTTTACATTATTTTATATTATTATATAATTGGAGTTGTAGAAGCTCATTTTGATAAAGTTTCTAATCCTAAAATGTCAGAAGGCTTAGGCAGTAGTTTGGCTTATCTTCTTTCTTTAAGAGGAAAAACACAGATGATTGAGAGTCTACAGATTTATGAGTCCCTTTTAAGTACTTACACTGGGTATAAACTTCTTATAACCATGTTTTCAGGGCCAAGTTTTGATTGCATTCTAAACAATAATTTACCAGGTGTGAGTATCATCCCCAGATTTATTTCCGTGGGGATCATAACTCACCAAGTGCCAAGTGTCCATTTCTGTTGAGCTTGTTTTCCTACCCAGCCACCATGACCTGTAGATGGAGTCTCTTCCTGTCTGCGCTGCCTAACACTTGGATTCCAATTAAGGAACAGTGGTGATGTGTCTTCTGTGGGCATTTCTGTCCATGGTGTTGGAAGTAGGGCTGGAACTTCCCACTTGGAATTCTTACATTCAGTTCAGTGGTCTTCTAATGTTTGTCATGAAGGAGCTCTACATGTGCTCACTTCTACAGCTGGAAGTCCATTCATTCATTCATTCATTCATGTACTTGTTCTCTGTGAACAACTAGATTGAGCATCTCTGTCCATGAGAGAATTTCCCCCACCTAGATTTATAGAAACAATTGGCTAGTCTTTCTATATTTATGAGAAGAACATACTAAATATTTAAAAATGCGATCATTGGGTGTTTGTGGGTACATTATAAATTAAATCCTTGGATTAAAAAAAAGTACAAAAACAAATGACCCCTTACTACTAATTCCTTTGTTTCAATCTAGAGATCATCTTTAGCAAAACAACCACAGCTGGCCACCGGTGGTTCATGCTTGGAATCGTGGCTACTCAGGAGGCTGAGATTTGAAGATTGTGGTTAGAAGTCATCAGCTCCAGGAGAAGGACTCTTTTCTTTAATTAAACAGCAAAAAGCCAGAAGTGGAGCAGTGGCTCAAGCAGTAGAGCACCAGCCTTGAATAAAAAATCAGGCAGGCACATAACGCTGTGACTTCAAGCCCCAGCACAGGTACAAACAAGCAAGCAGGCAACCAGACAAATAGGAGAAATGACAAAGACAATTCTTTATAGGAACTGAAGACTGCAGTTAGGGGAAGGGAAAAAGAGGAAGGGAAGGGGGCACTAAGCAGGAGAGCAGCTTGCTTGTCGGTGGCCTTTGCTTAATGCTCACACACTGTTTGGGGCAGTAGGGACAGGAGACAGGGCAAAGTCATCAGACCTGTCATTATCTCCTCCTCAAGATGAGTAGACTGGATCTCTGAGTGTCACAAAGAACTTGAGATCCTCTACCAACACCTAGACCTTATTCACGAAGAGTGGGCTCTTTGTTTTAGCTCACTTCCTGGTACTTCCAGCATCTTTTCCTACCTTGAGCAGCCCAAGATTGGCGCCAAAGAAAGGAAAAGCAGGAAGGTAGAAGAGTAAAAGAGAATGCACTATAAACAGTGGAGGTAATAGAGGCTCTGAGGTAATAGATATCTAAGTGAGGCTTAATTTTATGAGTCCCCTACAGGCTGTTTAAATAGATTCAAATTAGATGGATTTCAGCGTAATGTGGGCGGGCCTCTTTGAGTTTTGGATCTTTATTCTGGCCATGCCTCCTCCCTCCCCCTCCTTACCCCCAGCCCAAGATGGACAGCACCATCTTCTCTTTTCTTCTCTTTGAGCTGGGCCTCAGCTCTCTCTGGCTGTCCTCCTCCACCCTCTTCCTGCTACCTTGCAGATTTGTGCACCTCCAGGGTCACATGACCCAATTCTCCCTCTCCTTCTCCCAAATGGTTGTAGTTGTGTTCTGGAGAGTCCTATCTAAGACAGTATGCAAATGTTTTTTTCTTTTTTTCTGGTTAGGAATAAAAGCAGAAACATTTTTTTTTTTTGACAAAGAAGGCAAAATGTGTCATTTTCATCCATTTGTTGAAGCAGGCTGGTATTCTGATAATTTTTTTAAAGTTGTACAACATTTTGCTTAAATATGTAAAAAAAAAAGATAACAAAGCACAAATCTAGATCATTAAACTTTCAAAACCAAGTAACCAGACTGACAAGTGCATTCTCTTTCCAGAAGCATTTTATTCTGCACGAGAGAGGAATGTAGTGGTACAAATGTGTGCTCCGTCTTCTTGTTCTTCTTGGAATTCTGAATCTACAAGCTATAATTTTTCAGAGTGAGTTTAGCTCACAGTACATTCTGTCCACGAAACACATTACTGCTGAAGGTACGTTTGGCCCTTTCCTGTTTATTGCTACCCAGAGTGATTATAATTAGAATGAATTTATTATTTCCTAGTACATACTAGGTACCTTAGTCTTATCTCTATTTCTCTTGGCTCCCAAGTTTCTGAAAACAACTCTTACGGATGGCTCTGGCTGCGGGTTGGCAATTAATTATGTCCTTATTTGCATGATCTGAATTTCTCTATTGAATAGACTGTAGTGTTTTTGCTAGATGTCAATCAATATCCGGTTGAAATCCCCAGAACATCTGAAAAAGCTAAGCCTGATTAAAACGCATTAAATATGATCTGATTTTCTACATTAAAAAAAAAAAAAACTAATTTTCAGAGCAGTAATTTGTAGGAAGCAAATAACCAGATTATTTTCTTTATCTCTCAGTGTTTCCCAGATGGAACAGCCCATAGAACAGTATATTATGCAGCTTGAGTTGGATGTACATCAAAATCATTCACTCACTCTCAAAGTTCCGCGGAGATGATTAGAAATAGAGTCGAGATGACATTTGCTCTTTGAAGATAAATTCCAATGAAGTGGAACCAAATGTGTGTGTGTGTAAAGAAAAGAAAGCATCTTTTTGACAAAACTATTTGATTTCGTTTAAGATTCTGGTGCTTCAGGTGGAGCAGGGGAAGCAGAGAAGGGAGGTGATGGAGTAAGGTATTCACTAGGAGGTCAACTTAGGAGGCCTGCCCTGTCATTAGAAGAAGAACTCTGGCTGCCTGTGTGTATGGAAGCAATGGGATGCTAGCGAAGGACACTCAGCCCTCAGAAGCGCCATGCCAGGGAAGGATGCTGCTGAGCAGCTGAGCAGGCACCCCTCCCAGGGAGACAGGATTCTTAGATTGGCAGTTGGTGGCGTTGTGGCTGAGCCTCGCGGATGGTCGTGGAGGTCAGGAGCAACGCCTTTGGTCCTGGGATGGTTAACGCCCAGGTAGCATCCAGCCCCCCAGCCCCAGTCCCTGCTCCCCCCAAGGAAACAGCACGCAGGCTGAGAAACGGTGACAAGGAGCCAAACCAGCAAACCATGCCTCCCCTGTAGGCATGGAAGGGAAGCCGTCGGCCCACCGCCCTCCTGCAGATGTGTTCTCAGACCTGGAGTTTCACACCATCCTGCTGGTCCAGCCGTCCAAGAGGCCGGAGGGCAGAACGTACGCCGACTACGACTCGGTGGATGGGTGTATGGAGGGCGTCTGCAAGATGTACGAGGAGCACTTGAAGAGGATGAGCCCCAACTGCCCCTCCATCACCTACGACATCAGCCAGCTGTTTGACTTCATCGACCACCTGGCGGACCTCAGCTGCCTGGTGTACCGAGCGGACACCCAGACCTACCAGCCTTACAATAAAGACTGGATCAAGGGGAAGATCTACGCCCTGCTTCGCGCGCAGGCCCAAAGGCCCGGGAGCAACTGAGCTGGCCACCCCCGCGCCCAGGGCTCTGGGGTTGTTGGGGTTTGGGATACAGGAGTGTGCAGCGTTACTGTCTGAGCCTGTTTCTGAGTGAATTAAATGGCACTGGGAGGAGCTCATCCGCGGGAACACCCAATGGCCCTTCTGCTCTTCTGTTTCTGTGTTTTCCTAATTTAGATGGAAGTTGTTCTTTTGTCAGTTCGCATTGGTTCCAGTTTCTTGATCTGCTTTCTAGCATGTGGCCAGCAAACCCTTGCAGAGGCCGTGTGTGTGTGGGGGGGAATGGGGGGGTGGGGGCCTGGGGGATTTTGGGGTGCTGTTATAAGCCCTCAGGACAAGGTCTTAGTGCAGAGTAAATAAATGTTCTTTAGTGATGTATAGATAAATAAAGGTTTTGTCTTCTTTTCGTTTCTCTGTGAATCAGCTTGGAGCTGCTTAGGACAGACTGGCTTTCCCCGTGAGGCAGAGGTGGCTCTCAAGATGGGCATCTTTACTTCCACTGACTGAAGAAGCAAAGACTGATGTGCATAGCACGCACGCACACATACACACCACACACACACATATTCTCGCTCATCTCTGCCACCTGTCTGCCTCTCTCCAAAAAGAAGGAGGGCATTCATGATTGAGTGCGGGCCAGGGGGCACCATCATTAAGTAAGTGGCAGATATTACCTGGCACTTTGCTTATGTGATTTCTCTTCAACATAGGTTCAGGTCAGACCTAAAGAGCTTAGATCACCCAAAGGGTGTTAATTCATTTTCTCTCACCACGAGTCCTAGTACTACCACACAGTACACCCTCTGGCCTGCTGGGTACCCTCACTTGCATCATTCGTTCTATCCTCCAGCAATGGAAAGGGGGTGCAACACGGAAGTATTCAGCTTGAGGGTTCCCTCTGTCTCACCCAGCGTCATGGCTTAGTGGGGTTTTCACATGTTGCCTCCAGTTCCCACTTTTTTCCTTGTGTTTGTCGCGGTGGATCTTCACCTGGGCTCCCCTCCCCCACCCACCCTGGTGGGTTTCGGGGACGCAGCTCACTGCAGGGCACCCCCTCTCCGCTGTGTAACTCAGGTAAGTCCGGCTGTGCACGCTCCTGTCTCCTCGTGACCTCTGGAGCTCTCCTATTTCCCCGTGAGAGGCCTTTCCAATGTCTCCCTTTGTTTTAGTGATGCGCTGAATGCCTCGTCCAGAAACCAGCTAGACATGGACATCAAACGGATTGAGACTTCTGATTGCAGCATCAACCTCTCCTGTAAACTACCCGTCTAGAACTTGTTTCTATCCACCTACCTGTGAAAGTATAAGACTAAGGCTAATCCTAACGAGACAAGCTCATCTTTAGATCAGGTATGCTTCTGCTGCCACAGACCCAATAAAATTAATTTCTGGATTCAATTTTATACTTAACAAGCCAGATCCATTCACGTAAGAAACCTTGCAATTCTTCCAGTCCACAGGGCCACGGGCAGTTCACGCATGCACGCATAGACACTTACGAATATGAGGCAGGGTCTTAAAAGAACGTTGGAAGTCATAATAAATGTGAGCAGCATGCCTCATTTACACCTGCCCTCCCCCCCACCAATCATCAGTGGTGGTGCTATCATAAATTCAGATTCACGTTCATGCTCCTGAGGAGGAAATCACACCGGTGGTTATTGTCATTAAACATTCATCTTGGAGACAGATACAGGTGGATGTCTGCATCTATATGGTTTGCCTTTCATTTTGGGAAAACGTCATGAGTTCTGCTCCTACCACCTGTCATAGTTGAGGATCTCATATAACCGGAGCGCTGTGAGGCCAACTCTCTATTAAGTGTAATTCAAACAAGCAGCAGCCTACAACAGTGTCATTGGCTGTGGGAACATCGTGAGTGGAGGCTCTGGTTGAAGGGAGGTCTTCCCAGGCATGTCTCAGTCACACCAACCCTCTCTACTGGCTTTGGGGATTAAACAAGAACTATAAAAACGAGCATAAACTGAAGGTTTATTTAAGCTTGAGGAGGAAAAGAAAGAACAATGATTAAAGCAAAGTGGATGTGTAGATTGTGTGTGAGAGAGAAAAATACAAAATCACCTCTATGTGACTCAATTTTATTTTCTTTGCATAGAACTTTGCAAAGAGTAAATCCTCAAGGATTTATCTAGCTTACACACACACACACACACACACACACACACACACACACACACACACACACACACACACATACACATCACTGGAACTGGGCACCAGTGGCTCCTATTTGTAATCTTAGTGACTCAGGAGGCTGAAATCTGAGAAATCTTGAACAGACAAATCTGAAAGTCTTTTATCTTCAATTAACTACCAAAAGCACAAGTGGAGATGTGGCTCCACTAGTAGAGCACCAGGTTTTAACAGCAAAAAAACAAAAGAACATGGCACCCTAAGTTCAAACCCCACTAATAGTGTGCGTACATACACACACACACACACACACACACACACACACACACACACACACACACACACACACATCAGTGGAATAATTTTTTAAAAGAAATTTTAAAGTGAAACATAAAACTTTTGGATAGGGAGCATACTCTGAAGAAGACAGTTTAAAAAAAGCAGGAATTAAATTTCATTGACAGCGTAAGTTATTGGTTTGTTAAATTAAAAAGAATTTAACAAGGAAGGTATCATTGATTTCTTTACCACAAAGCCAGCATATATTTATTTAGAGAAAAAAATATAAATAAGCACAGAGTAGTCATAATCTCCGCTTCCCTAATAATCTTGACTAATGCTGCTGCTCCCATTTCTGTCTGCTCACTGGTTTTTTAAGTTTGCCAATGACATGGATTATCTTCTCTGGTTCATGGGAATGATCACACAGCACCACTAAAGGCTCACAAGTGATTTTCTGCACAGTCACGTACATAGTAAACTGTGATCTCCAGGTTCTGAAAATCTGACTTTCCTTTGAACATTCCACCGCCCCTACTGGTTACCTGTCATATGACAGGTAACAAATGATCTTTCTCTTCTTACCCTTGAGTATATTCTCTGGCTCAATTGGATTCAATTCATAAATACCCAAGCAAACAAATAGTACAAATAGGCGAATTAAATCGAGGTGCATTCTGTTTTCCCTATCAGAAAATGTGGACTCCTAGCTAAGGGGTATATAGTTTGTCACTCTGAACATAGAGATTGTTTATTATCTTCACCTATGGATACGGAGCAATACACTCATGGGGCACTATGGAGTAATACACTCATTTCCGAAGGGAAAAACAGCCTTGCTTTGCAGGAGAGACACATTAATGAACCAAGAAAGGATGTGGAATATTCCAAGTGATGTTCTGTGTCCACTTTCACTGCCAGTAGTTGGACAGAGAGACTCTGGGGTCTACAATTGCAAAGCCAAGTTGCAAATCATTTGCTTGACTTTAAAGAGTACAAAGGATGTTCTGCTTTATGTTTTAAACTCTCGACCCATGATCATTATCTGGTAAGAACCGTATCAATTACCATAAGTGTAATTGCATCGCTTTTAATATCATCTAGAAAATCGTGCACATTAACAGTGGATGGTTTTGATCTCTGTGGAAGAACAATTACTCCTAAAACTTTATTATACTTTGGAAATAGAGGAAATTTTTTTTTGGTTTCATTTTCTGTGCAAAAGAAATGCCAGCATTGAAGTACCATTTAAAAATTGTTTTGGGGAGAAATACATTAAGTTTCTTCAACAACGGGATCTTTTAGCGCAGGAGTAATTTCACATTATACAAATGCAAATGTTCTTTCCTTCAGGATGAATGTGTTTGTTTCTTGACTGATGATTCTCCTTTTTAATCCAGCCACTTGGACTACTTATATGTTTTGTTTTATCAAGCTCTACAGCTCCTATGCTATTTCGTTTTGGCTGCGGGCTATAATAGCTTCAAATAATTATTTTAATATCTGGAATTGATAAGAACAGTCTAAGAAGAAAAACAGTATTGTTTGCATTATATCTCCACTTAGAAGGTAATGGCAGTAATAAGACCGAACTCATAAATGAATTAATCACATTGCCTGCTTCATTTTCTCCGAGAAATTCTTGTTTTCAGCAATGCACTACAAAGACATCATAAATGTGTACAATGTACTTGCTTTTTTATTTTTCATGGCAATGTCTTTTGAACAGAGTATCTTTGTTGAGGATCAGCATACAAGTGTAATATTCTTGTTAGGTTTTCAGATATCTTTCTTTTTCTCTCTCCTTTTCCTTCCCTCCCTCCTTCCCTCCCTCCCTCCCTCCCTCCCTCCCTCCCTCCCTCCCTTCCTCCCTCCCTTCCTTCCTTCTTTCCTTCCTTCCTTCCTTCCTTCCTTCCTTCCTTCCTTCCTTCCTTTCTCTCTTGTGCTGGTATTGAGACATGAACTTAGGGCCTCAAGCTCATACCTTGTCTTTGTAGCTCAAGGTAAATGTTCTGCCAATTGAGTCACACCTCCACTTCCAACTTTTTGCTGGTTAATTGGAGATAGAAGTCTGTAAGGTTTGTGGCTTCGGTTAGTTTTGAACTGTGATCCTCAGATCTTAGCCTTCCCTGAGTAGCTAGGATAACAGATGTGAGCCACCAGTGCCCAGCTTAAAATAAGCTTCTGATGAGTAGTTTCTAAGGCCAACTAATAATGTGTGTTACTCTTTCTACACTGTAACAAATTCCCTTTTTTCTTCTTTCTTCATAGTAGAATGTATATATGATATAGAGTTTTCATTGTGATAATGCCTTATAACATGCTTTGTCAAACTCACCTCCTCTTCTGCTCTTTCTTGTCCCCTTTCCCCTTTTAAGCAGTTTTAATGAGTTTCATGATCATATTTTCATACATGTGTATGAAACACATTGATTATATGAATCTCTTTCTGTTCCTTTTACCCTTCCCATAGCCAACCAGCCCTCCATTTCCCCTAAAACAAATTCTTGATCCTTTTTCCTTTCCTCTCCTTTTTTTCCCCTGTGCTAGTAGTGGAGTTTGAACTTTGG